CGTTTTGAATCCACGCCAGTTGTGGCACATATGCTATGTTTGCGCCGCACCTGATGTTCACTCGACCGCTCACACACTCCATCTCTCCCAACAGTGCAGACAATAGCGAACTCTTACCGGAGCCGACGCTCCCGACCACTGCCACAAACATGCCGTCCCTTATCTTCATATCCAAGCCATCAATACATGGTTTATTGCCTTTGAGTCTCACGTCGTCCACACTCTCCCACGTGAAGACTCCCCTCTCGACCAAAACCATATCCTTGTCCTCATCTCTCGACACATAACCTGAAAGCTCCTCGAAGTCCAGAAATTTGTTCAATCGTTTCACTGAAACACTAGTCTTTGGGCATAAAATAAGTTTGTAAATTCAGTTTTATATGTATTTAACAAGATAATTAATATGCTAATGGTGTTTACCATAATCAAGCCATTAATCATATTGGGAATCATCATCAATGGTATCCGCAAGAGATTGAACAGAGAGATGGAGACAAACACTTTGGACGCGTCCAACACATTGGTTGAGTCGATGGCTATGTAAACACCGAACGATATGAGGGCCACGAAGAAGGGAATGTTGGATGCGATGCATATGAATATTGTGCTAAAATAACCCCCTTTTCGGAGTAAAGACACCTCTTTACTTCTGATCCGATTTATAATCTCTATGAACGCCTCCTCCCAGGCGTATAACTAGGGGGTGGAGGGGAGCAGACAATACTGTATACCAATTTATACAACCATAATACAATGTACTTTGTCTAATAATTTACCTTGAGCACTTTCATGCCATTGAGTATCTCATTCATAGTCTTAAGGCGTTTATCCTTTAACTTCATTTGTCTCATTTGAAAGCTCTTTATATATCGGGCGCCGTATAGAGTGAGTGGTATAGTGAACAGCATGAATGCCAAACCACCAAACACTGCCACACCTAACTCGTTGTACAACAGGTACGTGGAAATGGCCATCTGTACCGGTGCCGACCATAGGAAACTCAGCCAGGGCAACAAATCTATTACACAATTCATTTTTAGTTATAATATATTATTTGCTTACTTTGACTTTTAAGTATAATTAGTGGGCAAAACCAATACAGACCTGAAAACCTCTGGCAGTCAACGGCCATAATATTGACGATTTCTCCGGTCGTCGTATCCTTTTTGGCGAAATTACTTAAAATCAATGATTTTCTATAAACGGCTGAAATAAGACACGTCCTAATCCTCATCCCTATTAATATACAATTAATTTAATTTAATGACAAATAATTTTATAATTAAAAATTGTGATTAAAGCAAATTAAATATTTTTTCGACCCGACCTGTGGTCACTTAGTGAATAATGTTTAAATGATTTTGTCAATACTAACCTAAAATAGTCATACGTTGAGTATTATATGTTGTAATCAGACTTTGAAATACATTAGTGAACACAAATAGTGAGGCGTAAACATATCCGTGCCATTCGGGCTCATCACTAGTCGTAAAGCCAATCAATAATCTTTAGGATAAGTATAAAATAGACATTTAATATATTTAAATTACAAGTAAATTACAAACAGCACAAACTTGAGTATCATAGGATTGGCCAACTGTAGTATATCGCTAAGCAATTTCAAAATACCGGGTGGTAAAAAATACCACCAAAATGCTTTGCAAACCACCATAAATATATTACCATTGCGCAATTTTTTCCCTAATTTGTTGGTGTCGGGCACACACTTAATCCCATCCTTGTTATCCAACAGCCCGATTGCGGTCAACTCATGTCTATCCATATACTTATCATTTTTCCAGTATTTGTTGAAATAGCGGAAGACATTACGGGTTCGGTCGACACTCCGGACGGCCCACAAGTCGTTGAGTGTCAACGGGTGGCGCCAACCCTTCAGCACAAGTGCTGTCAACCAATTGAATGTCAGTCTCGATGGGAACGACACGTGCTCTTTGGGGCACACTTTGTGATTGGTATTGGCTTTGTCTCCGTAGCCGTCACTGCCGTCTATGGACTGATCCGGCAATCGGTCGGCAAACGAGCAAAACAACAGCAATATAACGGTCAACACATACTGAACCACATATAGTATTAATTCATGGGATTGTCTCATGTCATCGGCAGTGGCGTAGACGGCAGTAGTGAAAGTGCCGGTGACTGTTGACAGGAATAGATATATCCATACAATACCACTGCAGTGAACGCCAGACGTCCGGTGCGTATAAAACACGGCACACAATACCAGTCGTGTTAAACAGTAAACACCGGCAGACAGTATATGGGCTACAGTTGGACTGTCCGACCATTTAAACTCCCGGCACAACAATAGTATAAAGTCAATGAGAGTGACCATGGTCAGTGTTAGGGCTGTGATAAGTCTGCTGCCATTGTAGTAATTCCATGGGATGTGATATCTGTGCGCCCGTAAGCTATCAATGATAACGTACGGCAAACAGATCCAGAGGAATGCCGATGGGATCCATACCATGACTGTATCTGTCATACAACTGGTCAGTGTTGGCGATGCTGTGTTCCAACTCACATCGTTGTTCTACAGTTATTAATAATAATTATTAATGATCATGGTACACATTTTACATGTTTCATTTTAAATTAAATGTAGGCGTAAATAAAGTTTATTTACTAAAATTTGAATTTCAAATAAATGTAAAATTTATATCAAGTTATAATTGATACTCAATTCTCTCGTTTTACTTTACAGTCTAATAAAACTTATTTTCATATATTTGTAAGATATTTAATTCACTGGTATTAATGTTTTTATAGAAATTAAAAAATTATGGTTTATTAATCTAAAATAATTTCCATGATCAATAATCAAATTTAAATTATTAACAAATTTAATTACAACATTGAGAGAGAGAGAGAGAGAGAGAGAGAGAGAGAGAGAGAACTATTTTATTCAATAGTTGTATAATTAATCATTAATTAAATTCATACCCAAATTGGTGTCTCACAAATACTTTCAAACATATTTTTATAGCATGTTTAAACACATATAGAATTTAATTTAATATGTATGTATAGTGTGTTGAACAATTACTCAAAACAATATTTAAATTATATAAGGAATTAAAAGTTAGAAAACTTACTAATTTATATAGTTTTTTGAATTATCAAAAGGTTGTATAAGTTGTCACTTTCAATTGTAATCATGTGTTTTAAGACAATAAAACTAATAAAATAAATTATAAAATAATGTTTATGGCTACTTTATGTACCAGAGTACAAATTCTCTTTTTTTGAAAAAACATCCCTTAACAGGAAACAGTTTAAAACTTATACTTTGCTTTTATTTGTAACTTATATTTCACAACAGATAGTTTTGAGTCAATAACTGTTGGTTTCTTACCGAGAGGTTACACTGTAGATGCATACCGCATATATTTTAGGTGCAGTTTTATTATTCTTTAATATCTTTAAATGTGTATTTTATTAGTTTGGATGTTATCTAGATAAGTACAAAATTTATCATTTAAATTTTATTCTTAATTAAGGTAGTTATTTTGCACCAACATTTACAAAATTGATTAGTTTCATTTGGCATTATTATTTTATCAGTACATTAATTATTAATTAAAATTATTGATAAATGGTTAAAATTTAAAATAAAAGTTACTTTTCTAAATATATAACATAATCATTCAATTTCACTTCTAGTAAAATAGTCAGATAAGTACAGTACACATGGTACAATACTAATTGCCCCTAAAATAAATATTAAAATAAAAATTATGTATAATAATGATAATATCCTTACAAGTGGTTAAAGTAATTAGTATTACAGAAAAACTTGTGTAGGGTATATTAATTATAATATGAAAAATGTAGAAATTGTTATTCTTATCTTATTAAGTTGCCTATAAGTTGAAATGTTATAAGTATTACATCACTGCATTGCCGATTAAGATTTATATTACTATATATTACTTTATTTTATTATCAATTATGATTAATTTTACAGTAACTGAAATGCACCGGTTTAGAATATATCTTACAATATTATCCTACAACTCATTGATTTAATTAATATAAATAAGATTAAATAATATTTAATGATATTGCTTTACAGGCCCAAAAATAATAATTGTTTCATTTAAATATAAATGTAAAAACAATTATTTGTAATATAATTGTGTTCATAATGTTATGCAATGTGTGATGATAATAACACACAAAAGTTTAGTTTACTTATTGTAAATGTTGTACAAATGTAATATTTTTATTAACATAATTTTATTTTTATTTATATTTTACAAATAATATATATTATAGATTACAATTTAAATAATATTACTAAATAATAAGTTATATTAATTCAGTCGCTCACTCTTTCATACTATACAAGTCCCGCATCCCTGGCGAGTGAGTGGAAGATAGAGTTGGTATCCCTGAGCAGCACTTCCGGTGCGTCAAACTCTGCGACGCGTCCGTCGTTGAGGACGAGTACGCGGTCGGAGTCCATGATTGTGTGGATCCGATGGGCGATCGTTAAGACTGTGCAGCGACTGAACTTCGATCGTATGGTTGTCTGTATTAAAGCGTCGGTCTCTAAGTCGACGGCAGCCGTCGCCTCATCCAGAATGAGGACACATGTCCTCCGCAACAGTGCTCTCGACAGACATATCAGTTGTCTTTGACCCACACTTTACACATCAAATGCAAACATCAGTTTATATACAGTTTAATCATTTTGCAAATGTATTGAATTTACCTCAAATTCTCGCCGCGAAGGCTGTGGAATATCAGCTCCGGGCGTAGCGTACTGAATTGTTTCAGAAACTCTACACTCAGGAGATTTCGACAGGTGTTGAGAAGCAGGCTTCTGAAGTGTTTGCCTAGGTTTAAGAGCGCTTAGGTTCCCGAGAAGAGCACCGGATCCTGAGGTATGATTGTTAGCCGCGATCTTAACTCCTAAGAATTTAATGTTAAATTACTTTTATTTTTTAAAATTTCTAATTAGTTTTAATTGCATTACTTGTAGTCCTAATTGATTGATATCAATGCCATCGATAGTTATTCTGCCAAATGAGGCCTCAATTAGTCTAAACAACGCCAGAGTTAGAGACGACTTTCCCGCACCCGTCCGACCGACTATTCCTATCTGTTGTACACATTAAACGTGTAAATAATTTCTAAATACTACTCTTTAAATGCTATAAACATTGCATTCATATAAAAATACATACTTTCTCTCCTTCTTTCACATTGAGATCAACGCCTTTGAGGACGAGATCGAGTCCTTCGCGATATTTAGTCCCGTATTCTGTGAATTGAATGCATCCCTTGTTTGGCCAGTTGTCGGGTATCTTCTGACCCGAATACCACTCGGCCTCAGACTCGACCCCACAGTACTCGTCAACCCTCTCGACGGCCACCACATTGTTCTCCATCTCAGCAAACATACGAACGCACATATTTAAAGCCATTGTAATGTTCATCGCGTACGATATGGACAGTCCAGTATCACCTGGGTCCATTGTACCCTTGGCCAGTACGGCAAACAGTGCGGCACAAAATATGAGACAATTGGCCAACACTTCGAGCCGCACCTGAAGCCAACAGTTGGCGATAGCGTTGGGATAGAAACACATCTGATTCCTGTCCACCCGATCGTCGGACTCGCGTATGAAGCGGTCGTTGACGCCGTACGCCCTGATAGTGGACACGCCGTTAACCGTTTCCCCGAAGTGTGAATATATTGGCGATCGGGTTATCGATTCCAGTCTACAGTAAGCGAGTGTTTAAATATAAGTAAAATTTTGAAAATAAGTCTTATATAAAAGTTGTTTTTATTTACAAACCTCTTGAGCTGTCGAGAAGTTACGACATAAAACTTCTGTAAATTTAGTTTTTACACAAAAGTTAGTAAATTATAATTAAATTAATTGGTTTTATTTCATCATTAATATTAGGGCTAATGTGGGAAATAAATGAATACCTGAACAAAATAGTAGATAATCATAACCGGGAAAAATACGGCCAAAAATATTGGCGTTTGTATCGATATAATTATAATTGTGGCCAATACTGAAAAACTTGTATTTATCAATACCCTATTGTTTAGAACAAAATGCAATAATTAATATTAAGATATATAATTAGTACAACAAATTTCATGATAAATTATCAAACTTAATTTTAGTTATAGAAAAGGTAACTAGTAGATTTTCTAACCTCATTGTCATTTGCATCAATGAGTCCAGAATATCGATGTCTTTACTGAATCGGTTCAATACCCGACCCAATGGTGTCGTGTCGAAGAAACTCATGGGTGCGCGCATTGTGGCCCTCAATAACCTCTGGTGCAGACTCTTAGATGCGGACAGAGTGCCCGTCACTATCGATGTCCAGCCCAGGCATACAAATATGGTCTGTAATATACCCAACAGGGCGTAAATACCTAAATAATAGCCATTTTGAGCAGGGTCATTGTCAACGCTCCACGCATTCAACCAAAAGCTTGAGCCCGAATTGAGTCCATTATATAACGTATAACTAACTAAAATGCCAATCGTCCACAACGGGGTCATCGCTCGGGCGTATTTGGCGTATACGGCGAGCTTAACGTCACCCGTTTCCGCCGTTTCGGTCGCCACCAGTTTAGACATATCTTTCTTCTCAGCCCCGGCTGTGGCCCCGCTATCGACTGGTGTGGGCGTCGGTATTGTGGGTCCGGTCGATGTTGTGGTGCGGCGTCTGATGAGTGCCTTCGCCTCCTCGTCGTCGTCGCCGTCAGTCTTGTCGGTCACTATTTGTCGGATGAGTTCAACAAAGTCTCCCTTTTGT